TAGACTCACAAAAAAGATAGAAAGTAGCTTATCATGTTGTCATAAAATATACATGAAATATTATGTTTAAATTTACTTAATGCGGTAACATAATCTTAAATTTTATTTTAAAATTTTTACGATTGGATCAGTTCCAAGAGTGAAGCCAGTAGCTCATCATGTTGTCATAAAATATACATAAAATATTATTTTTAAATTTACTTATATTGATGCGGTAGAGGTTGGATTTTTATTTGTTGATTATAACCATCCATTTTATTTTAGATAAATTTAAAAATAATAATTTAGGTTAGTATATATTTAAGGGAAAACAATCCGACAGTAAATGTCAGGGAAAATAATTATAATTTTTTTATTAATATATAATTAATTTTCACTGACACTACTTTAGTGTAATTTAATAAATTTTCAAACCACTATCAATTTTATTGAGATTGTAGACTTTGGCGATATTTGTTTAGATAAATTGGATAAGTATGGATCGTAAGATAATAGATTGATGGTTTTGGGATATATAGTCTTAGGATTATTTGACTAAAAACGATATATATCCCATGCTTATTTTTTTATGAGATTAAATGTCTGTAAATGACTATTTTAATAAATCTCATGTTTGATTTAAAAATTATAAATTGTTTACAATAGCAATACTAAATTTGAAGTATATTTTATTTTATTTTGCAAAGACCATTTTAATTTTATTTAAATAAGACATTAGAAGTATGTTTTCATTTATGATTTTGCTAATACAAAAAAGAGAAAGAAAAGAAGTAAAAGAAGACTTATATCGTGAGATTAATTTACACCTGTTTAAAAAAATTCAACATATTTAAAAAAAATTTAAAAATGAAATAAATAAATTATATATATATATATATATTTGAGGGTCAATTTCATTATTTATCTAGTTAATATAGAGATTGGCTCAGTCTACCTATTTCTGTCCCACACACCCGCATGGGATTGAGTTATCTCACATTTGGCAGATTATTAGTCACCATTAGTACAATTTTCACTTTTCTAACTAAACATTAGACTATCCATTTTATTAAACATAAAGTTCAATCTCATACCTTAATCCTACCAAAACAAACACTCTTTTTGAGATAACCTCTATTTATTATAGAGAGCTCCATCTATCTGTATTTCTTTCCTACTTTCTTGTGTATTAAACTCTAGGATACATGCTATATGCACTCTATTATAAATTAGGAAAAAATTATTGATAAATCCCATTTAGAAGTGTTTTAACCCAAGAAGTCCATGAAGAAATTTTTTAACCCATTTAGTCCCATGTACGTATAGTTTTATTCCATAAAGTCATTTTTCTTGATTTACACTATTTTTTTGGACACTTATGCCCTTATATTTAATTTTGATACCCTTATAAATATTTTTTGAACGGTTAGCAATTTTATGAAGTGAACATTCATATTTTAAAATTCACATTGGTAGGAATGTAAAATTGGCCCGTGGGCGGTCCGAAACCTGTCTGCCAGCCGGGGCGGGCCCAGCCCGTTGATAATGTGAATATTCACATTGACATGTTAACATTCACATGAATAAGAGTGTAAAATTGGCCCGCGTCCCGTGGCGGCGCGAAACACGCCCGCGGCCCATGGGCAGCCCGGGGCAAGCTCGGTCTGGGCCGTTGACAATGTGAATATTCACGTTGACATGTTAACATTCACATTGATAAGAGTATAAAATTGGTCCGCGGTCCATGGGCGGCCAAAAGCACGCCCGCGGCCCGGGACAGGACCGATCCGGCCCGTTGACAATGTGAATATTCACATTGACATGTTAACATTCACATTGATAAGAGTATAAAATTGGCCAGCGTCCCGTGGGCGGCCAAAAGCCCGCCCGCGGCCCGTGGCGGGCCCGGCCTAGCCCGTTGACAATGTGAATATTCACATTGACATGTTAACATTCACATTGATAGGAGTGTAAAATTAGTCTGCGCCACGTAGCTGCCCGAAACCCGCCCACGGCTCGTGGGTGGCCTGGGGCGGGCCCGGCCCGTTGACAATGTAAATATTCACATTGACATGTTAATATTCACATTGATAAGAGTATAAAATTGGCCTGCGCCCCGTAGCTGCCCAAAACCCACCCATGGCCCGTAGGCAGCCCGGGGCGGGCCCGGCTCGGCCTGTTGACAATGTGAATATTCATATTGACATGTTAACATTTACATTGATAAGAGTATAAAATTGGCCCGTGCCCCGTGGCTGCCTGAAACCCGCCTACAGCCCATGGGCGGCCCGGGGCAGACCTGTTGACAATGTGAATATTCACATTGACATGCTAACATTCACATTGATAAAAGTATAAAATTGGCCGCAGCCCATGGGTGGCCAAAAGCCCACCCGCAGCACGGGGCGGGCCCGACCCGGCCCATTGACAATGTGAATATTCACATTGACATGTTAACATTCACATTGATAAGAGTGTAAAATTGGCCCGCAGCCCGTGGGCGGCCCGAAGCCCGACCGCAGCCCAAGGCGGGCTTGGCCCGACCCGTGACAATGTGAATATTCACATTGACATGTTAACATTAACATTGATAGGAGTGTAAAATTTACCCGCTGCCCGAAGCTCGCCCGCGGCCCGAGGTAGGCCCGGCCCGGCCCGTTGACAATGTGAATATTCACATTGACATGTTAACATGCACATTAATAAGAATGTAGAATTGGCCTGCCGCCCGTGGGCTACTCGAAGCCCGCCCACGGCCCGGGGCAGGCTCGTTTGGGTCTGGGCCCGAGGATGTCCGAGACCCTAGGTTAGGGCCTAGGCCATCACTTTGAAGCCTGGCCCGGCCCATCGGCCCGCTTAAGGCCCATTCAAGGCTCGGTCCGAGGCCTAGCCCGCCTGAGGCACAATGTCTTTTTTTGTGAAAAATAATAAAATTTTGGTAGGAAAAATTAAAAAGAATTAAAAAAAAATGGCCAGGCCCGCCCAAGCCCGGCCTAAGCTCGAGCCTAGGCCTAGGCCCATCGGCCTGACCCGAGGCTGTCGTCTTCGGGCCGCGAACCAATTTTACACTGCTATCAATGTGAATGTTAATATGTCAATGTAAATATTCACATTGTCACGGGTCGGGCCCACCCCAGGCAGCGGGCGGGCTTCGGGCCACCTACAGGCCGTGGGCCAATTTTACACTCCTATCAATGTGAATGTTAATATGTCAATGTGAATATTCACATTGTCACGGGCTGGGCCGGGCTCGTCCCGAGCCGCCTACGAGCTTCGGGCCGCCCATGGGACGCGAGTCAATTTTACACTCTTATCAATGTGAATGTTAACATGTCAATGTGAATATTCACATTATCAACGGACCGGGCCCGCCCCGGCAACGGGCGGGCTTCGGGCCGCCCAAAGGCCGCGGGCCAATTTTACAGTCCTATCAATGTGAATGTTAATATGTCAATGTGAATATTCACATTGTCACGGGCCGGACCGGGCTCCCCCACAGGCCGCGGGCTAATTTTACACTCCTATCCATGTGAATGTTAATATGTCAATGTGAATATTCACATTGTACATGGGCCGGGCCCCTACACATTGACGATATGAACATTCACATTGACGGTGTGAACTTCACATTAGGGGTATTTTGGTAATTATGTCACCCATAGAACTTATTGAAACATAAGAAAATAATATGAACTAAATAGAACATAAGTAGATGAAAAGGGTATTTTGGTTTTCTTATCTCAAATAGGACCTAATGGAATAGTCAAAAAGAATATGCATTGAATAGAACATAAATAATTAAAGATGGATTTATGAAAAAAGCTCCCTATAAATTAACATAATTTTATTATAAAATTTCATAATATTAATCACAAAATGAGTAATCTCGCTATAAATTGGCATAAAAAAAAATGTAGTAACCAAGTCTTAAAATTTTGTAAAATCAAAAATAAAATTTTTGACATTTTGTTATGCTAATTTATAATGAGATTACGCTCTTTTTTTTTTTTTTTTGTTAGTATTACGATATTTTATGATAAAATTACGTCAATTCATAAAAAGTTGTATGTGGTATGCACCTATGGGTGTACATCATTCCCATATACAGGTTTTGTTAGGAAAGTAGGTTGGTTTTTTAATTTTAGCTTAGGCTAAAAAGTCATGTTTGAATTTGATATTTTAATTTTTTTGACTGATATAAAAAACAAAAAAAAAATAATTATAACTTAAATATGATGACATTTTATTTTATAATTTTTTTATAATTATTTTAGCCTACTAACCCATGCAAAGCGAGGGCATAATAGCCTCAAGCTCATCCTCCAATCTATTGGGGGTGTTTGTTTTAGCTTTTCATAGTCAACTTATGGCTTTTAACTTTGAAAAAGTTATTTTGGACTGTTTGGTTAAACTTATTTCAAACAGCTTCTGATTCTAACAGCTTATTTTAACTTAAAAAAGCTGATTCTGAGAAGCTGCTCACCCCTTGCTTCTAATTATCAGCTTCTGTTGTGGACATGTTAATTTATGGTTATACTCTTAAATTTTTTTATTTTTTATTTTTTATTTTTTTAAAAATAGAAAAAGAGTCAAATGGACTATAGATTATTATTATTATTTTTTATGAGAAATGTAGACAAACAAAAAATAAAAATTAATTGAAAAAGTTATTTCACAGCTTATTTAACAAACACTACTCAGCAACTTAAATCTATAATCTAACAGCTACATCAAAAAGATTAACAACTTCTGATTAAAGTCATAATCTATAATCTGTTAAGTTATAATTTATAAGCTGTTTTAACAGATACACCAAACGAGGCCATTATCTTACGCAAGAGTAATGATACATCTCTTAATTTTAAAATTTTAATTAAGCTCTACGGATATGACAAAAAATAAAATACAAAAATATATATATAAAAGATCAAAATATCACATAACAGCGAGACCCACCTACATTAAAACCCATTAAAGCTCGACCAACCCATCATTTTTGCTTTTATCAATTCCCAAAATCTTTGCAACCAGTCACTGCACTCTCTCTCTCTGTATCCCCGATCTTTCTTCTTTCTTGTTTTTGCTTTTGTTGTTTATGAATGATCCTAATCCCAAGTATACTTCTCCTAATCCTGCTCAAGGTACCTCCTCTTCTCTTCTTTTCTCTTCTCTTCTCTTCTCTTCTCTCTCTTATCTGTGACTAATCAATCAATCAAGCTGATTTCAGAGTTGTTTGTTTTGTTGGAAAATTATTTTTTTCATGGGTTTGTTGGGAATTACTCGGGCTTATTGTGCTCGACTACTGTAAAGATCTCGTTGACTTCATAATTACCCATCATCATCCCTATTTGTTTGTTACCCGGGTAAATTACACACCCATCCTTACAAATCAGCCATTGTGATTTTTTTTTCACTCTTTTGAGATTTTAATTTCATAATAAATTATTTTTTTCATTAATAAATTATCAAATCAATTAATTGTTTCTAATGATATTAGAAATATGTTTTAATTAGTAATTTAGATAATTTTATTATTATATAAGAGAACAATTATAAATTTTATTTTTTTAGTTAATTCTGTTAAATAAAAAATTATAACAAAGTGTATTTGTAATTTTCCAAACTATAGAGAGTAATTTATACTTTAAGAATACCTAAAGGGTGCATTTGTAATTTACACTGGTTATCTTAAAGTTTTTATGAATTTTTTATTATACACATCCCTTAAAACGGATATACTATTTGCATTTTTGATTATATCATTTTCTTTTTTAGTTATGATTAATTTTCTTATTTAGTTATAATATTATTTTAATTATGACTCAAGGATCTTTAGTTATGTTAGACTATCTCTAATGGTTTATCAGATGTATCACCAAATTCAAATTTGGTAAATAAGAGGGACTTTTTGTGCTCCAATGGTTTAATCAAAACGATATCAAATTGAGAAAATAGCAAAGGTTTCACCAAACTGAAGATCTGGGTACCTTTCACCAATTTACTGTGCAAGACTATTGTGAGTTGACACACCGGACGACCGGTTGGACATACGGCCAGTTGTCCCCCCGGTCATCCAGTTACTTCAATAATTCCCACAAAAATGATACTAGATCTGAAGAATGGAGATGAAGATGAAGAAGAACAAAGGAAGACGATCTAATCCCTCTCTCACTCAACACAACCCAATCATTCATATCTGCTCTTTTCCACTTCTCTCTCTTCCATCATATCCCTCTCTCACACAAGATGTTGAGATTCATGTAGATAAAAGATTCGATGCTCATCCTCCAATCTCTCATTACTTGATCGATCTAATCCTTTCTTGTAGTTTACGATCCATTCAGTGTGTTTCGTCCCTCATAGATCCTAAACTTTTCATTTCTCGAAAATTCGTCTTCCGAAGGTTTAAAATTTGTCTAATTCAATTAGATTTTGATTGCTAGATCGCTGTTATTATTATTATTTTTTGTGATTGGTGTATGCAATTTAGATATTTTGGAGTTGAATTATTTGACTATTATGGAGGATGGCGGCTACTAGGTCATTCTCATAACCACATCAGCTTCTCTCTTTCTCTCTCATTTCACCTCCTCCTCTGTTCAAGATTTGTATTGGGTTTTTTTTTTTCAAATTGCCTTGCCGGTCGACCGGCAGGTCGTTCCCCCAGTCGACCGAAATTTTGCTGATAGTCAAAAATATACCGTTAGAACGCTGGATATCAAATAGAGAAATTCTTTAAATTTTTACTCAGATTTAGTGAAATATTTGATTCATCATTGAAAATATTGCAATATGTAGTGTTTGATTATAAATTTTTTATAATAATTATAACATAAAAAATATAAATTTATGTCATTTTATTCTATCTCAACGTTGTAAGATCTCTTTCTTTTGTGATAATTCTTGGATGATCAAAAGTAAGTGGATATTATACCTTTGGGTTTGAATAATAAAATATTTTCTTTTATCTTTTTAACTTTTATTTATTATTTTATTTTATAAGTGGCTACTATTCTTCTTCATTCGTACACTTCACTGAACTGGTTTCAGGATTTGTTTGTCATAACTTAAAAAAGTTAAAAAGTTAAAACGTCACTATCTTATTTAAGTCATATCACCTCTTTACTACGTCACTTCAAACACAATCCATACCCAACCTATATTTCATAAAAAGTCAAAAAATACACTTATTTAGATCATCCCAAACTACCCCTTAGTTTCAATAGTATTATACACCTCACTGGATGGGTTTTGGATTCAATTTTGAGAAATAATTTTTAGATGGGTTTTGATTTGTCTGTACTGAATTTTTTTTCACATTTTAGTCTTTTTAAAAAAATATAATATTTAGATATATCAAGATTAGATGCATATAAAAGTTTTAAAAAAAATTAGTTAAAATATAAAAAAAATTCACTAAAACAAATAAAAATCTAAACAAAAATGCACACATATTTTTGTTTGAATTTTTTTTTTATATAGTATTCTTTTGCAATATTTAAGTCAATTTGTTTGTTTTGTTTTACTTTTTAGATGCAGCTTAATTATATATATCTAAAAATACAAAAAAAATTAATTGAAATATGAAACAAATTTATTAAAAATAAATAAAAATTCATCTAGAAATAGTTTTTAAAAAAGCTAATCAAATATTTTCTTTATAATAATGATATATTCTTCTTTTGTTTTATTTCATTGTGATGTGATTGAAATTTAGTGAACTTTGTTCTAATAAAAAGATATTCTTCTTCATTATTATTAATGAAATTCTATGATAACACTCCATTATATGCATATTTAGCTATGAATTTTGTATAGTTAATTATGATATATTATGATATTAGTTATGACTTATTGTGATGTTGATTATGTTATTATTTTGATTATGATTTAAATTTTTTTTTGATTATAACTAACGTGATAAGTCGTAGTGTGCAGGTCTGACCAACATTATGTTTTTGACCAACAGTGTGCAGATCTGATAACATTACCATTATGTTTCTCACCAACATTATACTTTATTCCCTTGTTTTTTTTTTGTTTTTTTTTTTCATCTTTATTGATGTAAATTCATAGGTAATACATGATTTCTTCATTAATAAAGATTTTTTTTTCTGATAAAATAAAATAAAATAAAATTAGGAGAGATGCTCCCCTAGCATATAAACTCGGATTAAAATTTCTGCTACTTTATTTTTTTTTCTTAACCCCACATAAATCCTACTTAGGCAAGGTCTATAACATAATTAGGGCTTTTGGTTGTATAGTACTACTTGGTAATGTGAAGTTTGCAGGTTCAATTCTTATAGAAAAGAATTTGATATATCTTTTGTTTACCTTATGTAAATAGCATAGAGATGAACAATAATTACATATCTAAGAGGATATTGTCACAATGTTAACTTTTTTTTAAAAAATTTTTTTATTATATTTTAATTGGTTTAGGATGTTGTAATTGGTTTAGGGATTGATAGACATCTTTCATATTTATTATGGTATTTGAGAGGCAACATAAATGGCTATTTGTGATTAATGGAAGATGTGCTACCTTGTATATAACCCATAATTTTTCTGTGTACATAGATTCACTCTCTTTTTTCATTTATTTTTTTATTTTTAAGTCTCTTCTGAAAAATTCAACTCCAACTTGTAAAGGATGGTATATAGGGTAAGTCCTTGTAGAGCTTGTGGCTCATTTAAGGGTACTTAAAAAATGAAATAAATCTAATTAACCAACTAACTAGTTTGGAAATCAAATTACAAATAACTTACAAAAGCATCCAAATATTTTTTGATTCTCATTAAGTATATTTCCCAATATAAAAAGGGATACTTAAAGAAAAAAGAGAAATAAAACACTACAAGAGCATCACAGATTGGGGGACTTCACAAACAGCAGAACGAAATTGTATTATCGACATATGCCAGTGTAAATCACGAAGTATTATAATGCAGTAGAAAAAATTTCAGAATCATACATTTTAGTAGAGCCTGAAGCAAAGAATCTTGTGGGTAAATCACGTGCTTCCAGGATATGAACAACCAATCCAGCAGTGGAGTGATACTACAAAATGAGTATCACCCACACAAGTCACAGTGCAGAAGCTGGATCGTTCTCATATGGGAGAGAGTTAGAGAGAGAGTCTGGGAAAAAAAGTTATGGGTAAAAACCACATAACGTATCTGATATCGATATATAACTTAACCATATAATTTGATATATAACCATATATATCAATCTATCCATATCAGTTGATATGATAGATACAGATATCATGAGTGGTTATCCAAATAAGTTTTGAATTCAAATTCAAACTTACTTGGGTGAGGTTCAAAGGGTTCAAAGGGTCGTGTCACATGGGCATCCAATTTCTAACATCTCCCACTCGCACATAAGTTGGCATGATACTGCCACATCTCTATCTCAATCTCCTAAAAAATGAACAATCTCATACTAGCCAATGCATCGTATGACCGCTGAGAAACACCTGTATGTGGGAGCTCTATACTAGAAACTCAAAATGAGCCAGCATAGAGACATCAACCCAAAAAGAATAGAAATAGTGTCTCATATACCCCAAACCCATCTAATTACACCGATCCAAAAAAAACATCTCTAATCCCTCAAAAGAGTATGTTTGACCCTCTCAATTCTTGCAATATATTCACACTCAATCCGCCTCTCATACAGAGCGATGTGAGTTGCCGGCAATGAATATACAACAGTGGTGTAATACTAGATGATCTTCCCTTTGCCCTCATGCCATTTAGTTTAGGATTGACCGCTTTCCCATTGATGTCCCTTAAGGTCGAATCATACATGACCGCAGGCGACATACCAAAGTAGCAGAACATCAACCCCTTACCTTATGACATAGTCAAAAGTCACAAAAGGGTACATAAATGAAAGTCATATCAATAATGACACATAAGACTCACACGATGAGGAAACAGGACTCCATTCTCTCACCTTATTACTCGGTCGCCAAGCACATATAGTATGAATACATGTTACGGTGGAGTAACTCTTCCAAAAGAGTGACGTCATACTTGACACACCGTACAGATCTTAGTCTAGTCGCTTTCTAGCGCCTAACTCGAATTCTCTATTTGCTTGCCTACCAGGCGCTAAATGAGATCTCGCATGTGGCTAATCATAATAGGCACAACATGGAAAGTGGGTACTAACATCCATGTTTGGTCCTTATCACGACCTCATCTTGGTTGTAACCAAGGTGACATACATAGTGGATAATTTAAGCCTCTTTTGGTTCCAAATAAAAATAAACCACTAGTCTCATCCTTGCTCACTCCTAAGCGCCAAGGGCGATTGCTCGTATGAGTGAGCTAATCTTGCCTGGTGACATCATCATCTGCTAATCATTATGACACAAACCATAATAATGTCAACATCCCATCATCTCATAACAAATAAGTGATCGATTTTAAAAAAAACACAACCACAGTCTACGCAATTATAGATTCAAGCATAAGCCTTATCAGCACCTCTTGCGATAAGCATATACAACAGAATCCACCATTTGCGCCTCACATGAAGTGGTTCAAAATCACTACCTCTTGCGCAATTACCTCTCTAAAGATATTTTGGTGACCAATCTGCTTCCATTCAAGATGCGCCCAACTAGCGCATTGAATCTTACAAGCAGCAAATTAATATACTACTAGTAAAGTATTTTATCCACAGTCTAATGAGCAAGGTCAATGTCTAAACAACTCAGTTGACCATTAACCAAAGATAACACTTATCATGCCGAATACGCCCACATAGCGTACTTCAGGCTCTCACAACAAAAAAAGATCAAGGAATATAGGTCATCTGTTTCTCCCAAAGACAATCTGAGGATTCACTCAATAGCTAAGGCTCTGACTTTTACCAATAGGTAAGTCAATGGGTTTGCAATTTTGCATATAGAATCGTTCTAGGATATTCCTGATGTAAGTCATCAAAGACAAACCAGGAATTCTCCCAAAACAATCCCTAAGGATCATACATCCGAGCATATAAATTACATCACCCATGTCCATCATATCTAAAATAGAGGACTGCCCACCCTAGGTGGCGACAACCTTATAAATTCTTGGCTCATAATGACTAAGTAAGGAAAAACTTCTTTTGGACCATTGATCATGCCTCAATGGTCTTCATCGATCATCGTTTGCCTATCATGGCTTAACGAAATCTAAGAACCACTATTTGGATAACTGTTTTAGGCTGTAAAATATTTATTGGAACTAGCAACCTTTTTGCGCTCCTAACTTTTCACCATAAAAGCAGAAGGTAAATTCTTATGGATCTACTTATCCAATTCTCCAACGAGAAAGTTGGGTCACAATGTCCACAAATCAATGTTCCAAACTTATATCAATCATAGCTTAAGTCGAAATAATCTCACTCCCCAGGAAGAAGTCTTCTCATGGTCTACATTTTTCTCAATAGTGCGACTTTTCAGTATTTAGCGAGCCTTATGCCTCAACAATGACTATCCAAATTGCGCATAACCTCAGAACAGTTTCGCGTCATAATGGAAAGTCAACCAAATTATAGAAATTGTTAATCCTCAAAGACTTTGTCTTAAACTGTGCAATATTGATCCACTTTCTAAAAACAGGGGACTAGAACCTTTGGCATTATCCTTGGCTCTTTATCATCTTGCGGAGCAATCATGAATGTTTGCTTCTCAATCACCCAGTGATGACGTGGAAAATTTTCACATTCGCTACCACGCAAC